GGTTGCTATGACTTTAGTTTGGCAAGGCTTCGTGGTCGGTTTGGCCATGAGGAGGAGGGCTGTGTACTGGTACTTGGGTCGGAGTCTTCGAGGAAGCTCGGATGAGTCAGTAGCTAAGTGCGTCTTACAAGAGGCGGGAATGTTGGGCCAATTCTGCGGGTTGAAGGAGAGATCGGGCATGATAGAAGTCATATGGGACATTACATGTGCAACTATGAAGAATTGGCCGAATCGGGATCAAGAGCTCAGGCTCGATTGATGAAGTTGAGGTTGGCTTAGGTCAGGCGCTCGTCACAGTGGGCAGGTCGGGATTAGTTTTTCGTTGTTGTAGTCGGAAGAAGGGTGGAGACTGGAGGTGAGAGATCTCATGAGATCGAGAGCTTTCGATATTAGGGAGTTGAATGCAGAGAACATACAGGGATTTGCGGCTCGTCTGCGATCAGGCAGCTGTATGTGGGAAGCTCGGGTGAAATCGAAGAAACATTTAAAGTCTTTACTTCGTCTTCCTTTTAAAGATGAGGCAAGGCATCGTTATGTGCGTTCGGTCGCAGGATATTGCAGAATTTGAGCAGGGATTGCTGGATGAGATGCGAGTGGTGTCGAACAGCAAATACTTTTGCAGGATTTATTCAGGATTTCGGCATGTTTTCCGGTTCTTCGTGGATGTCAACATTTTTTTTATGGATTTTCATATTCGTCCAGCTTCTAATCTTGTTCCCACATGCAAATTCAACTTCTGAATAATACTTGGTGTGCTATTTGGTGCATCTTTTGCTTGATATGATGTCTCTGTTTTCTTCCAAAAGGTTACTTATTTGGAAGGCATTTGATAGAAATGATGACAGGCGAATGATGGTTGTCTTATGTTTTGTGCGGTATAACTTTTTTTGAATTGTTTGGTGATCCCTTTTAGAAGCTTTTGTTTGCTTATTTTCCTTGGTTCATGGTTCCTCGTCCTTTACACTTGGATTACACTTTTTCATTAAATTTGTTGTGAGTAAATTTGTTGTGAGATTTGTAGCCTTGGTATCCACATAACTTTCTCAAAATTTTTTCTCTTTCATGCAACTCTTCTTGTTCTCAATTTTTCTTGTTTTGACTCTCAGTTGCAGATACCTTTTTTTGCGAACCTCATGTGACATTGGCTTGCCCATTCTTTTTCTTCATTTTCTTTTATAACCCAGGTCATATTAATAGATCTGACTTATTGTTCTTGCAAAAAATGTTAGTTTTGTTGACACCCTTTTTCTTTCTCTGATATCTTATTGAATTTTTTAAGACTGAGAAAAATTACATGTATGAAATATAGTGTGATGAATATTTTTCTGTCAATGATGATAGTACATGATGACTTCACTTTTACTAGATAGAACTTGGAAGACTAAACTTTTGGTGGCTATAATTGAGTAGCCTTATAGTCAGATATCATTGAGATCATTCTTGTCTTTCTAGATGTTTATATTGTGCAACCTCACAATTGTAACTTGATTAGCAAGTAGACTAATCTAAGCATTGAGAATATTATTCTAAAATTCTAAAGCCAGCATGAAGTTTCATAAAAATTCTTTATATGCTAAATTTTTTTGATTTATTTGGTCTCGTGTTTTCTAAGTGCTAAACCCAATGTGATGTCAAGAGTTTTTGTTTTTTTCACTTAAAATGCAAACCATAAAACGAAGTGATGCTTAACTAACTAAAGCATTTATGTGTTGTATATCATTCATACATATATTATGTGCATATGATAGTTATTTAGTAATGAGATATAAACCACATTACGTAATAATTTTTTTAGCAAATATAATGATATGTTAATAATAATACTTTTCTGCCATTTAAAAAAAAGAAGAATGTAAGATATAATAATATAAATAATAAGGTGATTTAATAATATACTTAAAAATTAAAAATATACTCATGAGATTGAGTGACTAACTAGAGAATAAGAAGTGGAGGCAATGTGAAGTGAGAGAAATATTTTGAAGTTAAGGTAAAGTGGAGCATTCTTGAGAAGTAGCATATGAGCGAGAAGCTATTGGCATAAATTATAAGAATTAGTGAAAAATGTATAAGAACTCACATGAGAGTGAGTGTGAAGTGAAGAGAACAAAGAACCAATGATGAAAGAATTAATAACTATTTGAAATACTGAGGCAATGCAAAATAAGAGAGAAAAGGAATAAATAGAGACACTTAAAAGTGAGTGGAGAAGGAAAAAAAAAAGAAGAAAATAGATATTTAAAAATAAGAGAAGAAGAAGAGAGAGAGAAAGAGTATTTTCAATAACTTTGGCTCTCATAAATTTGGTTTCATTTATCATCTATGTCCTCACATGTCAAACTGATTCACTTAATTGTCTGTAAACATTATTATTGATATGATGAGGAAATCAAATGTTGCATGTTTTATGCTGGTACGAAGGCTAATACATGTTTTTCATAATGTAGTGGGGTAGAAGACTTGGTCGTTATGTATCACGCAACCAATATTTGTCTTTCTTAGTGTGATGATAGACCCAGTACTTTCCCAAATGCCTCCTGAATGGGGGTGATGTTCAACACAACAACAGCATTAAGCCTTTATCCCACAACGTGGGGTCGGTTACATGAATCCTTTTTCTCCATTGTGTCCTATTAAAGGTCAAATTCTCGTTTAAATCTAATAAAAAAAGGTCATTCCTAATATTTTATAACCAAGTCTTTTTAGGTCTGCCTCTACCTTTCTTAACAAAAGTCAAATCTAATATCTCTACTCTCCTAACCGGGTCATTGGAAGGCCGCCGTTATGTGACCAAACCATCTAAGGCGACTCTCTCTAATCTTATCTTCTACTGGAGCTACTCCAACTTTTTCACATATATGCTGAAATTTTCATCGAATGAACTTCCAAATACCAAATTACAAGCAAACTCGTAGACTAAACAATATGATAGAATGAAAAAAAAATTATCATATAAAAATGAAATAAAAAACCCAAAATATGTTGTATCTATTGTGATCATGGTTTAAAATTGCGCAATAAGAGGTGCGCCTCAGCGCAATTTTGTCCATTTAAGCCTCAAAGCCTACGCAATGAGTTCAAGATTTGAGACGTACGCTTCAAGTTTACTGAGGCGCGCCTCGCCTCATGGTTGAGAGGCGTCCTCTAAAAATTAGGCTTGGTACTGAGCAATACATTCTCAGTACCACTAGGTATATGATCGGTACCGAGCCAGTACCGCTTGGTACCGAGCAGGTATATGCTCGGTACTGAGCAGTATATGCTCGGTACTGAGCAGTACATGATCGGTACCACTAGGTACATGCTCGGTACCGAGCCAGTACCGCTCGGTACCGCTCAAAATAACTCTTACAATAAAATTTTGTTCCGGTGCCGCTCAAAATAACTCTTATATGTTAATGAAAAGAATACTGTGATTTGGGAAAGATGGAGTTTGAGTTGAACTATATTTCATGTTGTTTTATTATTGGGATATTTTGATTTTACTTCATATCTTGTGCATTTTTATGTTTTATATATTATTTACTCATAACTATATACAGAATTTATCATTTTCTGTTTACGCAATTTTTTAATTTTGAGGCTTACGCCTCGCCTCACGAACGAAAAACGCCTCAATACCCGAATATGCAATTTTAAACATTGATTATGATTATACTCTGTTGTATCAAACCTTGTAGTTTGCTATGTTAAAGCGATTGGAATACATAATTGTACCTACCATTGGTAAACCTTATTCAAGTAAGGTTTGAACCCTATTGGGACCATTCTTAATCATTCTCGGATCATGTTGAACCCTATTTAAACAGTGTGGAATCATGTTGAAGCTAAGTATGAACATTGCTTGAACATGATTCCCACCTTTTTTGAATCTATCATTCAACACAAACTTTAAATAAGTGGTCCATGTTAAATAAATGCAGGACTATTTTAATCTGAAACAAATTTTAGGCATATTTCTTCAATTACGGCTATTATGATGCTTGTAAATCTAAATTTTCATGTGTATATGTTCCCTGGACAATTCAACAAAGATATCCACTCATAGTATTGGTCTTTCAGAGTAGCTAATTTTATCTTTAATTAGTTTGGTTATTTAAATTATTTACACATGCTTTTTGAGTACTTGTTTTACAAAATCTATTTAACAAGTCCTTTGAACTTAGAATGTAACAAACCTTAAAAAATGGTTTTTTATTAAGCATTCTTTGGTGTGATGATAATAATTTGATATTATTCAAAAGTATTTTATATTTATTACTTAATAGCTCTTTTTCTATTGTCTCACTTTACTTCAAAGAACATCTAAGATGTTCCTAACAACGGGTTTTGAGTAATCACTGTCAGGGTGCTTGAGACTTTGAAAACATTGGTTCAGATGCAAAATTCATGTACATGATTTTTGTTAGGCATATAAATTGTGGAATCGCCCCTTGCAATCATTCTCAAAATCAAACCTGAAATCACGCCTAGAAATCAGCTCAAGTAGTCCTAGCCTTTCCCCCAGCCATCTCATCCACCTGGCTGCCCACTCCAACTGGCCCACACCCGCCTTTAAATCCCCTTGTATGCATCTCCATCGTATGCAAATGACGTTTTCTGCTCTGAGATTCGTCATATGCTCCCATGACTTTTGGACAACTGCTAAATAAGTAGAACCAATAATTGGGTTTAGGTGGAACTCTATTTGGCACTCTTTTGACTATAAATCTGAAAGGTCTAAAGTTCTGCTATTTTTATGCAACTTTTAACAATGTGTCAAGTCATACATTGAATCTTTCGCAAATCATTGTCTTATTTTTATGATGCTGTTTTTTTATTTTTATTTTTTTCAGTTCTTGCTATTCAAAGAATTTGCATATCACCACCGTCATGTGCTTCCCTTACATTTCGTTGTTCATTTTCGTTAATTTTTTTATAAGTCATAATCGTTATATAATTATAATTTTTTGTGTTCATTGGCTGAAACTATGATTTAATGAGTATTTTCTGCTCTTTAGTTTCTTGCTGGGAAGAATGTTGAAATTATAAACAAGGATGGCACACGGGAGAAGACTAAGGAGGTCCATGAGCTGTCGAAGTTAGCAAAAGACAAAGTACATGTTTCCACACTTTCAACCTCAACGACAGCTACTAGTTTAGCAGAAACTTTGTGAGTAGGCTTGTTTCACCTCAAAACTATAGTAATTCATCTCTTGAAATGGGCGTCTGCTCATTGCATGGTGTCTGTGTTTATTTTAATTCTAAAGTTTACTTGAGACATTTTCTTTAAATACATTTGATTTAGAACTCCTATTAAATTTTTTTCTCAAGACTTCTTTAATTAAATTGAGCTAAAGAAACTATAATAACAGGTACTTTTTTTAAAAAGTTCAAAAGTGATTAATTACACTCCTAATTGCCCACTGTACTGTATCATATTTTTGCTTGGTACTCCTGAAAGGTTAAATGGGTGATCAAGTCATTAAAAAGAGTTTACGTTTAAGATATTTCAGGTCTACTGATCAAAGTGATGGTGAAATAGATGGTTATATTATTTATACTAATAGATTTTAAGCTGGATTGTTGAAGTGGAGGAATGGATCAAATCTATTGTGTGATAGAATAGTACCCTCAAACTTAGGGGAAAATTTTTATAAAAAGGAGGTGAGACCTACTATGCTTTATGGTACAGAATGTTGGCCATTAAAAAAGAAGCTTAAGTGTTGTAGAGATGAGGATGCTCAGGTGACTGGTTTTACACTATAGTCAAAATGTGAAACAAGTATATAACTGAAAGGTTGGAGTAGCTCTAGTGGCAGATAAGATTGGAGAGAATTGCCTTAGATGGTTTGGTCAAACATCGGTCTTCTGAAGGCCTTATTAGTAGATTAGATGAATTATATGCGGTCTATGTTAAAAAAGGTAGAGGTAGACCTAAAAGGACTTGGTTAGAAAATTTTAAAAATGACATTTTTTATTGTATTTAAATGGGAATTTGACTCTTAGTAGAATACGCTAGAAAAGAAAGGATTCATATAGTCAACCCCATGTAGTGGGATAAAGGCTTCTTGTAGTAGTAGTTGTTGTTGTGGTACTTTTGAATGGTCAAACATTTAAAATGTTGGTGAATGTTCTTTATGGCATACTTGTTTTTTCAATTGGATGATTCTACTCTGGTTAGTTGGTCGATTACTTAAGTGTTGGGAACCGGGAAAGACTGATGAACCACATTGATGGTCAGATTTGAATTTTGTAATTCTCAAAAAACTTATTTTCTTTCTTTCATTGGCATATTTAAATGCGACCATTCGTTCGTTTTAATGCTTGCGGTCAACCATGTAGAAGGAATTTCTTTTAAGAGGTCATGATAAAGGCAGTGCTTTATTTTAAGAGGTTGTTATGGTTTTTAGTTAAAAGAGGCATTCACGCGGGTTTAAATTTTTAAGAACATCATACTGTACCCTACAAAATATAGATAAGGTAGGTTGACTATTGCATTAATGAGCAGGGTTAATGATGAGTTGAATTCATGTGATTCTCCTCCAACTCAAACATGAAATCAACAAGTTAGGTTTGACTTAAACTGGATTTGGAGAATTGTCTAGACAACTTGGAATTAAAATTGATTTGAATCCAATCAGGCTCAAAATCAATTTGAGTTGACTAGCAATTAAATTAAAAAGAGAGATGAATGGAAGGCTTGAACTTGAGATATTGTGCCCGCATGCAGAACAACATAAACAATATGCAAACTTACTATTTTTAAAATTTCCGCCAACCACTCTAGACTCAATTTGAGTTGGTGTCTGCTTTTCTGGCTTAAAATAAACTCAAATAGTTTGGAGTAGATCTTGATTAATCTCAAAATTTGTGTGAGTTTTTGATTTATAGTTCATATCAATACTTATAATGAGCATGTATGATTAAACTAAGAAAATGACTACCATACTAGGACATAAATTTTGTTTTATTTATCAGGAAAAGTCAACTGTAAGAAATTTAGATGATTCCGACATATAGTAATTTGTCAGGAGAGCAGAAGCTATTCAAAGGCCTTGAGATAGCTACAAAAAGCTAAGAAGAAACATATTAGGTTGATGGTTTAAAATTATTCAAAGAGGTTTAACTAACCTATATTTAAAAGCAACGTGACTGGAGGAAAAAATTAGAAGCTAGGATTGTGTGAAGTTATTCAAGGGATTCTAGTAAAACCATGATTCACGAGGAAAAATTAAGAAGCTAGGATTGTGTCAAGTTATTCAAGGGATTCTGGTAAAAACTTGATTCACGCTGAAATTTAGCAATATATACTAGACTTTTAGCATAGCATCTCCTCAGTGAAAGTTTTTTTTACTATCCTCTACCGTAGTCTTGATGTGTCAGGGATTTTCATAAGAACGTGCGAGGAATTTTTATGACACAAACCCCAAAAGGTTAGGATAATAGTTCTGTTGATAACAATTACTTGATAAATTAAGTTTGCACATGTTGGTTCTTGCTAAGGTACCTCTGGAAATCTTATGCTTACTGTTTCTGTTTATTCATATCTACCTGTATCCCTACTGTGCATTTTCTTAATTTCTCAAGCCAATTGCAACTCATGATTCATCAAATCAGTGCAAGAAGCCAGCACAGTACAGGAGGCTGGGAAAGGAGACGAATGCTTTTGCTCCCACATTCCCCACTTACTCCATCATCCACTCTTTATTTTATTCAACTGAGCTACTGTTATGACTAGCTTCATAACATAAAACAACAACAACAACAACATCATCAAGCCTTTGTCCCACTACATGGGGTCGGCTAGATGAATCATTTTTCTCTATTGTGTCAAGTTAAAAGTCAAATTCTCGTTTAAATCTAATAAAGAAAGATCATTTCTAATATTTTCTAACCAAGTCTTTTTAGGTCTACCTCTACCTTTCTTAACATAAGTCAAATCTAATACCTCTACTTTCCTAACCGGGTCATCGAAAGGCCGGCATTTTATGTGACCAAACCATCTAAGGCGACTCTCTCTAATCTTATTTTCCACTGGAGCTACTCCAACGTTTTCACGTATATGCTCATTTCATATCCTATCTCTAAGGGTAAAGTCACTCATCCACCTGAGCATCCTCATCTCTGCAACACTTAACATAGTATTATGCTTCTCTTTTAATGGCCAACATTCGGCACTGTAAAACATTGCAGATCTCACCACCATCTTACAGAATTTTCCCTTAAGTTTGAGGGGGATTTTTCCATCACACAACAGGCTCGATTCATTCCTCCATTCAACCATCCAACTTGAATTCTACTGATAATATTCCCATCTATTTCATCATCACTCTGAACAATAGATCCAAGATATCTACAACATGTACTCTTATTAATGATTTGTTCACCCAAAGTCACAATCCCCTCACTAGGTCTATTACTGCTAAAATTATACTCCATATATTCAGTTTTAGATATACTCAAGAGAAAACTTTTAGACTCTAAGGTTGACCTCCATAGTTAAGTTTACCTTCAACTTCATCTCTAGTTTTATCAACAAGAAGAATATCATCAGCAAAAACATACCAAGGTACATCCTCTTGAAAATGTTTAGTAAGAACATCCATGACTAAAGGAAAAAGATATGGGCTTAAGGCTGATCCTTGATGTAATACAACCGAAATAGGAAAATACTTGGTCAAACCAACTTGTGATTGAACACAAGTAATAACTCCTGCATACATATCTTTAATGATTTGAATATAAGCATTATTAACTCCTTTCTTTTCAAGAATGCTCCACAACACTTCTTTTGGAACTTTATTATATGCTTTCTCTAAATCAATAAATATCATATGTAGATCCTCCTTATTCTCTCTATATTTCTCCATCAAACCTATCAATAAATGTATGTCTTCCATAATCGACCTACCCGACTTTGAATCCAAATGATTTTGAGAAACATTAGTATCACGCCGCAACCTACGCTCTCTAACTTGCTCTCGTAGTTTTAAAGTATGACACATTTCCTTAATTCCTCTATATTTCGCACAATCTTGTGCATCACCTTTATTCTTAAAAATGAGAATTAACATACTCATTCTCCACTCATCTGACATCTTTTTAGTTTTCAAAACAGTATAAAAAAGGTTAGCAAGCCAAGAAATATATCTTCATCTCCTAAGCATTTCCACGCCTCTGTTGGAATATCATCAGGTCCAACAGCGTTTTTACACTTTATTTTTTTTAAAGCCTATCTAACTTCAATTTTACTAATATACCGATAAAAACAGAAATTTTTATTTTCATGTAGGGTGCTAAGGTCACTAATGTCAATTGTATTTTCATATTATTCATTAAAAAATTTATCAAAATATCTCATCCACTTTGTTGAATGTCATTTTCTACGAAAAATACTTTTTGATCTTCATCCTTTATACACTTCACTTGAACTAAATCCTTACTACTCCTATCTCTTTATTTGGCTAACTTATACATATATTTTTCTTCCTCCTTAGTATCTAATCTATTATATAAATCATTAAAAGTTAAGATTTTTCGTATCGCATAATGCTTTCCTAGATTCATTACTTGGCTTTTTATATCTTTCCCAATTATCAAAATTTTTATATCTAAACTTATTTTTATAATAAATCTTTTTTTTTATCTTTTCTTACACATTTATATTCCACCACAAACTATTTTTATTATTAGGAGTCGTAGCTATTAATGACGAATAGTGCACCACGACGCAAAGGTCTTTTTGGAGCCATGGTGCATAGCAAATGATGCGGCGAGCGCCTTTTTAAACCTAGCGCAAAATATACAAAAATTATAAAATAATAAGCATGTATATGAAATATTATTACACTGCAAGACAAACTACATAATAATGAAAGACAACCATAATCATATATAAGTTCAAGTAAGCAACATCCAAATATCTCATAATTCAAAACATTATAATCATTTTTTAAATATCAATGATTTTATAAGAATTTAATCTACTCTTCTTAGGAATCATCATCATCAGTAAATGTCAAAAAAGCTTCATTATCTTCATCAGCGTTGTCTCTTACTTCATAGTCTTCTTCATTACCCTCTTTATCATTCTCAATAGTAACAACATCATTCCTAAATGAATATTCCTGCTCTTTCCCTTTAGATCTTTTCCGAAAGCTATAGCTTTTA